TCAGGGAACAGGAGGAAAGTTGTAATGCAGTGGATTAAGCTGCCAACTGGGATGCCCATATCCGATATCAGAGTGCCTGGTTCTAGTTTCTCCTCCACTTTACATCCAGCCAGCTGCTAATATAGGGAGACAGTACATACGCCAAGTACTCAGGTCCCTGCCACAACATGGGAGACCTGGATAGAGTTCCTGGTTTAGCCTGGTCCATCCCCAGATACTGTGGTCATTTGGGGAGTGAGTAGATCTCTCTCTCTCTCTCTCTCTCTCTCTTCCACTCTCTCCTTGTCATTTTGCCTTTCAAATAAATAAATATATCTTTAAACATAGGATCTGAAGTTCAGTTCACCTGCTAGGAGTAAACTGAACTTAGAAACTTAGAACTTGGCTTCTTTACTACGTGTGAAGTTTGCATATGAATGACCATCCAAAATAAATCACTATCAAATAAAATTTTTAGGAAGACTTGGGGATGACAAAATGATTTGAAAAATAAATATGTACCTACATGTTGCTGGGTAAAAATTTGTCGTGTACATAACAACAACTACAAAAATGTGAATTAATTCTTTTTCACTCTATGAGTTAGCGGCCAGTTGAAATTATGATATAAGTTGCTTTAAATATAAAATACAAATAATCATAGTTGTTAGTTTCTTTTTTAAGTCCCAATATATCCCGTTCTTCCTTATTTGCGAGTTCCATCAGTCTATATGATTGTGCTGACACCAGAGTGGACAGTGAGAGAGAGAGAGACAGAGAGAAAAGTCTTCCTTGGCCGTTGGTTCACCCTCCAATGGCTGCTGCTGCTGGCACGCTGCAGCCAGCGCACCGCACTGATCCGATTGCAGGAGCCAGGTACTTATCCTGGTCTCCCATGGGGTGCAGGGCCCAAGCACCTGGGCCATCCTCCACTGCACTCCCTGGCCACAGCAGAGAGCTGGCCTGGAAGAGGGGCAACCGGGACAGAATCCAGCGCCCTGACTGGGACTAGAACCCGGTGTGCTGGCGCCGCAAGGCAGAGGATTAGTCTAGTGAGCCACAGCGCCAGCCCTTATTTGCTGTTAAGTATAGTCCTTTGTTCTGTGTTGATTCCTTTAAACGATCCTTTCCACTCTACATCTTTTTGAGATAATAAAGAACTCCTTCAGTTACTTCCTCTACCCAGATGACTTTCAAGTCTCTACCTGTACAATTAAGTTTTCCAAACTCCTCACGACATTTTCATTTAAAATATCTCTCTGCTAATTCAAAGAGTCAAACCTAGCATTGCCCCTCTAAAATTTGCTTTGCTATTTCTCAGTGTCATCACATATTCCACATCAACTAATACAAAAATGTTGGTTTCATTCTGCCTGCATCCTCCTGCTCACCCTTCACTGAATCCATTCCAGCCTCTGTTGACTTTTCTTGTCAAGTGTATCTTTCTTTTATTCCTGTTTTCCATTCCCTAAGTAGTTTTCTCAGTTTGAGTTTGGGTTTTGGGTTTTGTTTTTTTTGTTTTTTTTTTTTGTTTTTTTTTTTTTGTTTTTTGTAATAAAATTTATTTATTTTGAAAGGAGAGAGAGAGAGAGAGAGAGAGAGAGAGAGAGAGAGAGAAGAGAGAGAAGGTTCTTCAATCTGCTGGTGAACTCTCCAGATGGCCATAACAGCCAGGGCTGGATCAGGCTGAAGCCAGGAGTTTCTTCCAGGTCTCCCGTGTGAGTGCAGGGGCTCAAACACTTATTTGAGACAGAGAGAGACAGAGAGAGAGAGAGAGAGAGAGAGTCTGTCATCCTCTAATTCACTCCCCCAAATGCTTGCAATAGCCAGAACTGGGCCAGACCAAACCCAGGGGTGCAGAACTCCATCCAGGTCCCCTCCATGAGTGGCAGGAACCCGAGAACTTGACCCACCCCTTCTGGTGCACATTAGCTGGGATACTGGATCAGAACTGGAGTAGCAGGGACTCCAAATAGGCACTCCCATATGAGATGAATGAAGCACTGCACCACAAGCCCATTCCCACTTGAAGCCTCTTTTGAGAAGCTCAAGCCTAATAATGCTCTCTCTCTCTCTCTCTCTCTCTCTGGGAACACATTTCACTTACACCCCTCAGAAGAGAATTCTCCCTGCATGTAAATGCCAGCTGCTTATTGCACAGGATCCAGAAGCAAGAAGCTGGTGCCTTTTAATTGCAGAAACTCAAACAAAGCCCTCAGTGAGTGCAATGGTTACAAACAGTTGTTATTTATTGACTGCCTACTATGGGCTAAACATTTCATATTTATTAATAAGCACCATCATTTAAAACCAGAGAAAAATGCATAAATTCACAATAAAAGTTATAATTAGTGAGCTGCAGATCTAAGATTCAAACCCAGAAAGTCCAACTCCTGAGTCTATGTCTGAGCCATCATCCTATATCATTTTATAGGATGCCATTTAATTCTACAATAACTCTTCAAGATATATATGTATATATAACATAGTACAAATATAAACACAATATGATAGAGTATGTTGCCCACTTTGGAGATCAGAAACAATGAAAATCAAAGAGATTAAGTAATACCCTCCCCAAGTAACAAATGTGAGTGCTCTGCTAAATTTACATTGTTTTGATTATGCGCGTGTTCTTGAGGTTAACATGACTACCTCAGTTGTTACTGTGGGAATTAAACAGGATCATGCATGTGGCTATTTGTAGGCTAATATATTGTACTATGTTGGGTTTAGTTTTTCTTAAACACATTCTTACATTGCCACCACACCTATTAGCTTTTAGCAAATGGTATCCAAGCTTTAATTCCATACCTCTATTTGTCTTTTTATTGTTTTTAAAATGTAGTAATTTACATATAAAATAAATATATGCATTACTATACTAATAAATCTGGATTCTGTCACTTAGCTAATTGGTTGTGCAAGTTCTTTAACTGATCTGTGCTTCCTTCTGGATCTGTTAAATGAAGAGTCTAGTGAATACATTATATGTTGTGAGAGTTAAAATAACTAACTGTATGTAAATCATGTAACAGAGTCTGGTACATGGTAAAATACATAGTGTTACACTTAATTATTATGATTGTGTCTAATATAAAACATTCACAAAATTGAAATAGAGAAAGGTAAATTTTCACTTTTGTTTGCTAACCAATATTGCCAAACTTATATTTCTCTCACTAAAAATACTAGTAATGTTAAATTTAGCAAGACAAATACAATTGAATATGCTTCATTGCATTTGAATGTCTGGGAAAAAGTCTTCCCAGGTACTGGACCCCCCCTGAAATAGAACAATGTTAAAATTAAGACATGTCTTTTAACTGCTAATACTTAAGACAGACAGATGCAATCAAGAGAAGACGAAGATATGGGTAAAAAAGTGAAAAACAGCAATTCTCAAGGAGTCATCTAAAAATTTGCCAAGGCTTTTGAGAACACTGGTATTTCTTGGGTTTAATTTTAGATCAAAATGGATAGTTTCTGTCTTCTTGAGTGCAGATAATGGACTAGTACTGTCTTTATGCTATAAGCCATGATTAATCTTTTGGCTCACAAAAAAAGGGAGTAAGAGAATGGAATATTAATGGGAAATACAAGTTTGAAAGTGAAATGAGAGAAATGGAATTAAACAGGTGTGTGTATATGAGTGTGTGTGTGTGTGTGTGTGTTTAAAAGGCAGTGGACAACAAAAGAAAGCAAGAATCTGAGTGCTGGGACCAGTGCAGGTATGAAAAACATATGCATCATGCTATTCTCTGCTAACCATGTGGTGGTGCTGTTGGCATGACACAGTTCAGTGTGGTTGTCTCCAACACAGGGTGCACAAATTCTGGGAACATGCAGGAATATCTGTTAGAGTGCCCGAATAAAATGTTAAAACTCCATTTTCAACTTAGATTTTTATATCTTAAGAAACAGAAATAGGGGCCAGCTCTGTGGCATAGCGGGTAAAGCTGCCGCCTGCAGCACCTGCATCCCATATGGGCACCAGTTTGAGTCCCAGCTGCTCCACTTCCGATCCAGCTCTCTGCTATGGCCTGGGAAAGCAGTAGAAGATGGCCCAAGTCCTTGGACCCCTGCATCTACATATGAGACCTGGAAGAGGCTCCTGACTCCTGGCTTCTGATCAGTGCAGTTCCAGACGTTGTAGTGGATTGGGGAGTGAACCAGCAGATGTAAGACCTCTCTCTCTCTCTCTCTCTCTCTCTCTGCCATCTCCTTCTCTCTCTGTGTAACTCTGACTTTCAAATAAATAAATCTTTAAAAAAAATACAGAAATATTCTCTACTTTACTAGGAATATTTACTATAGGATTGATACAGGTTCTATCATTTAATCAACATTAGATGGCTCTGAGTCATATATGGATTTCACTCCATTCGTTCATCTGCTCAGAACCCAAAGCCTTGCAGTTTACATTTTCTTGGTGAAATGGATTTACACAATCTGTTGTCTGTTTTTTTTTTCTTTTCTAGATATGTTATCAATTTTAACTAAGCTAATTCTCTTAGCATGTACAAACAACTTAAAATATTTCCTCCACAAAGAAACTGCGGGTCAAAGCGATACTAATAATTCAAGGTGAAGATAACAAGAAGAAAATAGAAGAACAAGATGTCATCTCTGATAAATTCAACCCAACTTAGTGACTTCTTGTTTTTGAAGATTAGGGGAATAGAAACTTAAAAAACACAAAAAGATACTATCTCTTTGTCTTTTGGGCTCTTTTTCAGCCACATTGTGGATAAAATACAGTGGCTATTGCTGATATGCTACCTAGCAAGACTTTTTGTTTGCTTGTTTTACAAAATCCAGAGTACATTAAAAAAAAAAGTGTGGAAAATAGAATTAAAATGTAAGTTTGTTTTGGCTCAAAATATGTTGAAATCCTTGCACATACAAATTCTTGAAAGAGTTCACTGAAAATGTGTGTTAGTGAAAAACTTGTTCCTGGATTTCATAATCTTTTGCATCAAAATATATCTATTCTTTTCAATTTTTATTTTTTCATATTCAAAAATATGAAATGCTTTACAAATGTGCGTGTCTTCCTTGCACAGGGGCCATGTTCATCTCTGTATCATGGTAATCTCTGTATATGTGCTGCCAAAGTGAGCACCAAAATATATTCATCTTTTAATTCCACTTGTACTCTAACTCCTTGGAGGACCCTCATACCCACTTGATAAAGTCATTAGAAGTAAAAGTAATATTTTGGGGCAATAAATGAGGAAATATCTTTTTGAAGGAAACAAATGCTTTGGAAAAATAATTTTTTAAATGTATATTTAAAAATAGTTTCATCATTATGTGATTTTGTTCCTGCAATGGAAACTGATACATGTTGTCAATTAGGTTCTAATATTTCCTATACATTTTATTTATTCATTTTCATTGTGTTTTTAGAATTTTATTTGAAAGAGAGACACACAGAGGGAGACAAAGACAGAGAAAGATCTTCCATCTGCTGGTTTATTCCCCAGTCTCAAAAACTGGGGCTGGGCCAAGCAGAAGCCCAAAGCTAGAAACTTAATCAGGGTTTCCAATGTGGGTGACAGGGATCCAAGTACTTAGACATCACCTGCTGTCTCCTAGCATGAAGTTGGATTGGAAGCGGCATAGCCTGAGCTTGAACCAGGCACTCCAGAATGGGATGTGGATATCCCAAAGAGTGACTTAATCACTGAACCAAGTCTGTGACTTGTCTGTCCCAAGTCCCAAATTCTTACATTTCAATACTAAGGCTTTGAAATGGGATTTTTCTCATCTGCTTTAAAATTATTCCCAACACTTTAAATAGGTTTTGAGGCAATTTGTAAAAAAAAAAAAAAAAATGCAAACACTAAATACCTGCTAGGAAGTTGCAAAAGAAAAAAATAAAGATTGACATTATGGAAGATGGAAATGTATTGGTCAAATGCCAACACAAAACTTGGAATTACTGGTGAGTGGGGCCAAAAAGTAGGGAACATTATGTGATAACCAAAGCTACTATGACAACCCCTACGTGGATGTGTTGCTTCCACATGGGCCTGTGTATCCTGGCTTCCTCCAAGGTCTGCTTCTCTTTGCAGCTGGAAACCTGGTTAAAAAGTATGAAACAGCTACTTGGGACTCCAACATGTGGATGGTGGTAGCTAGAACGAGAAAGACCAGAATTTAAGGTGCACCAAACTAGTGGTAAATTTTTCTTTCTTTTTTCCTTCTCCTCTGACCCCCTGCATTTGAAACCCAGAAATGAGCCTCAGCCAACAGAGGGCGCCAGGGAAAGCCCTTGGTCCTGCCTCAGGGAATAAGAAGGGCACTCTGAACACCGAAGGCAGAGAGCATACGGCCCCTCCTTTCCTTTCCTTCTTTCTGTCTTCTCTTACAGCGCCCAGCGTGATCAGAAGGCCTTTAGTTCCAAAGAGACAGCTGCACGCCTCTCTCTCCTTCCCCCAGCAGTTGGCCCAAGACAGGGGCATGGTTGCAAGAAGGTGTGGCAGAGCAGGATAACTCAGCACCAACTTTCTAGCAAAAGGGTCAGAGAGGGGCCCTCAGAGAACAAGAACCATGGCCAGCAGTAAAAGAGACCCATAGAGTTGTCAACAAACCTCACAGTTACCCCAAATCTACTTATGGGTCTGATCCTACATCGAAGAGTTCAAGAACCAGACAAATAGGTCACTACTCAGGTGGCAGACTGGCTCCTGAGTGAGGTGCCCCTGGGACAGGTCTGATTAGAAAGGCAACGACCTCAAAAATGTAAGTTTTAGCAGAGGAATGGCTCTCAACAGTTAGCACAACAGTTAGCCAGAACTTCCACAGGTCAGTCAGCTCCTGGCACGAAAATACTGTTATTGAATAAGGTCAAGAATCTTAAAAGAGTCAAACTAAGGGGGCAAGAATTCAGAACTACTCAGCATTTGAAGATCCAAGAAAATCCCAACTACACAGGTAAAAGCAATCAACACACAGCAACATTAACACACCAGTGTCACCGAGAGAATTGTGCCTCCATCAATCCATATTGAAGCTTTAGCCCCTACTAGCACACAATGCAACTGTGTGTAGAATAGGGCCTTTAAAACACAAAGCTCAGCAAGAAGAAAACAAAAACCTATGTTTAAAAAAATGAGCCAAAAAACAAATACTTTCTTTAAGAGATTACAGAGATGGCACATGAAAAGGTGTTCAACATAAATTAGCCATCAAAGAAATATAAATGAAAAGCATAAGACACCACTATGTACATATATGAATAAGATTTTAAAAATCAGTGCTGATAGTACTAAGCTCTAGTGTCTATTGCTAGTAAGAATGGAAAATGATACAACCCAGAGCTGGCACTGTGGCATAGGCAGTAAAGCCACCACCTGCAGTGCTGGCATCCCATATGGGTGCTGGTTCGAGTCTTGGCTACTCCACTTCTGATCCAGCTCTCTGCTATGGCCTGGGAAAGCAATGGAAGATGACCCAAGTGCTGGGGCCCCTGGACTCACATGGGAGACCTGGAATTAACTCCTGGCTCCTGGCTTTGGATCGGCCCAGCTCTGGCAGCTCCGGCCGTTGCGGCCAATTAGGGAATTAACCAGTGAAAGAAAGACTCTCTCTCTCTCTCTCCCAGCCTCTCTCCTCTCTGTGTGTAACTCTGACTTTCAAATAAATAAATCTTTGAAAAAAAAATGATACAACCATTTCAGAAAATAATTTGGCAGTTCCTTTTAAACAAGCAAATATCATATGATTCAGAAATTCACTCTAGCACATTTCCCCTTGAGAAATGAAAACTTGTATTCACACAAAAATCTGCACAGGAATACTTACAGCAGCTGCATTCCCATTCAAAAGAAGGGGGAACAGGGGGAAACCAAGTCAATATCTCTCAATGGGCAGGTGGATGAACACGATGTGCTATAGCTATACGATGAAATACTACACAGCACTATACATATAACATTAATGTTTGCAACAACTTGAAGAGATCACAAGAGAATTATGCTGAATGGGGATAAAAAGCCAATTCCCAAAGATTCCATTTTATATGATATTCTTGAAGTGATGAATGATAGTGATGGAGAATGTAACCAAGAGGGTAGTATGTAGGCAAAAAGGGGTCAGTGGAACAGGGCCCAGAACTGGAAACAGCTTATATTGTATGCTCTCTTGGTCTTGGTTGTGTCAGAGGGTGTTCCAGGAAAGAATATCTTACAGCATTGTACTCAGAGGGGCCAGAACACCACAAACCGGGAATGGTTAAACTTGCAGGAAACCGGGGGCGGCCTTGTGACTACAAGGTAAAGCCTATACCTTTACCCCAAGGGGCACAGGTTCATGTCCTGGCTGCTCCACTTTGGATCCAGCTCCCTGCTAATGAGCTGAGGAAAGCAGTGGAAGATGGCCCAAGTATTTGGGCTCCTGGCTTCTGCCTCGCCCAGCCCTGGCCATTGCAGCCTTCTGGGGAGTGAACCAATGGATGGAAGTTTGTTCTTTCCCCCGATGGAAGTTTGTTCTCCCCCCAACCCCCGCCCCATAACTGACTTTCAAATGAATCTGTAGGAAATCATTTGAGTCAGATCTTTGCAATCTAAGTAGACCTTTTCTCACTGCAATACTGGATTCTCCACCAAAGGAAGATTGCTGCCATTCTTTGAACACCCCATGTGTGCAGAAGGACATCACCTACACTGTGGGAGTGGAAGGTGCCTTACCCTGCTCTACATCTTGGACACACCCCTCACCCTTGCTTCCCCGGGGGACAGTTTCTTTTCAGGAACTCTACCTTCCCACTGCCTCCTTCACTTGTCACAAGTAAAGGTTTCCTCTGAACAACTCGGGCTTGAGGCTGATTATTTGGTGACACCCCAAGCTACCTAGCTAGCTAGATAATATATACATAAATATGCTATACACACATATATATTTATACACCCAAAATATATACTGCTATAATCATAATAAAAATCGGTATTTATTAAGACCCTGGGGCTGGCGCTGTGGTGTAGCGGGTAAAGCCACTGCCTGCAGTGCTGGCATCCCATATGACGCTAGTATGAATCCCAGCTGCTCCACTTCTGCTCCAGCTCTCTGTTATGGTCTGGAAAAGAATGAAGGTGGCCCAAATCCTTGGGCCCCTGCACTTATGTGGGAGACCTGGAAGAAAATCTTGGCTCCTGGCTTTAAATCAGCTCAGCTCTGGCCATTGTGGCTATCTGGGGAGTGAACCAGTGAATGGAAGACCTCTCTCTCTCTCTGCCTCTGCCTCTGCCTCTGTAACTCTGCCTTACAAATAAATAAATAAATCTTTTCTTAAAAAAATAACCTGCCATAGTTTTAAAATATTTAAGTTCTCCAGTTGCTCCTCTTCCAGTCCAGCTCTTTGCTGTGACCCGGAAGGCAGTGGAGGATGGCCCAAGTGCTTGGCGCCTGCACCCGCGTCGAAGACCATGAAGAAGCACCTGGCTCATGGCTTTGGATCGGTGTAGCTCCAACCGTGGCGGCCACTTGGGGAATGAACCAACAGAAGGAAGACCTTTCTCTCTGTCTCTCTCTCCTCTCACTATCTAACTCTATCTGTCAAAAAAAAAAAAATAATAATAAGTTCTTTGAAACTTTCGTTCAAAGAGTGGGGGAGGGGCACAACAGAAAGAGATTGGAACCCAGAGGCAACAGAAATTGCAGAAATAGGCAAAGGAGACATGACCCAAGCCCAAGCTGATTCATGAATTAGACACACCACCTGCACTTCTGGGACAGCCCTTCCTTCTGTAGCCACTCACCCATCTGAAGTCCACACAACGCCACGGTTAATAAGAGCTAAGGCGCAGGCTTAGGATGTGGACTTTGCTTGCAAGGCCTCTGCAGCTGGGTATGTAAGTATCCCACGGGCCCTCCTGAGCACCTGCGCAGTGACTTTGTGGCTTTGTCTCCTACACTCAGCAGCTTGTGCCTCACCTGTGCTGTGGTGAGGCATTAAAACTCCCTGGAGCAGCTCTGGTCCCACAGCGTATCCCCTAGGTGCTGTCATCACAGCTGCAATCCAGCCCTTCAGGAAAGAACAGGGCAGAAGGAAGGAACGTGTGAACACATCTACAATACTCGGGGACAATCTGGAAAAGGAATCCATCACTCTTTGGACAA